TGACATAATTCCTAGGAATACAATCTATATATATCAATAAACATTGACCCTATATTGTAGTACTTACCGGCCCATATTATAACACAACTTTGTTTCTTAATCAATCAAGAAGCGACCATTACATTTTTAGTCAAAATTTCCTGCAAAAATGCACTACAATAGAAAAACACATATTACTTAATTCAATGAATTCCATACCTTGAGTTCTTGGTAAACACTTGATTAAAAACATAATCATATTCTTTGATTATAAAATAAACCGAAACGAAGTTTGTTTGGGTCTCCCACTGATTGATTAATCTATTCAAAATTGAAGACTTTAATTGCCGTTCGAATCTTGTTGACAACTTCATTTTTCTTTTTGTCCCACTGTTCTAATTATTACTATTAGAGCCTAGTAGCATGTTACTAACCATATCATTGTCATGATCATTGATTGTATCTTTCTCCCACTTGATCATTGACAATGTCTTGGTTTTAAACCATTTCTTGGTTACTAGTGGAACTTTGTGCTTCCGTGGGATTTCTTTGATACATTATACTTAGTATCATAGTAATTATATAAACTAAGTTCATCACGTCTGTCCTGCACACACTTCCCAATAAGAAGTTACCATCTGGAAAATGAAATGTGTGTTTGCTATATTTGATTTGCAGTGCACGATTTCCAAATCCACTTGAATGAAATGTATGTTTGAGATATTTGAGATATTATATATACTAAATATAACCGCTTGGAGGAATTCTAGTAGTTGAAATTGATGGTTTATGTTGACTGAGAATACAAATTTGCAAAAACACAATACTCCTATTCCTCTCAAGTCTGATTACAGAACTCTCTTCAGTACATAATCAAGACGATGTTTCGTATTCCTTGTTTGAATGAAAGACAAAACTATAAATCCAATTGCAATTTGAATTAGATCCCCAATGAAAGCCAGCAGACGAAAACGTTGAGACTATCGTCTGCAGTCGATAGTTGTCTGATTCCGTGTATGATAACAGAGAACCAATGCTCTGATACCACTGATGGAATATAGCACGATTGTCACACGATCAAACTCTTATGTCGTTAGACTATTGATTCCTATGTGGTAGTGCCAAGGGAGAAATAGCACACCAAAGGGAAGAAGAGTGTCTGATTCACGTTTGGTAATTTGTCTAGAAGAATGAATCCTCTTTTTATAGACTTCATCATACCCTTTCTATAGAGTTGTGAGACTTATTTGAATGGTTTTATCATTTCATGATAAGACACATCACTTATAGAAGGGTATAACTCTTATGATAAGTCATACCTCGTATCACACCCTTTGGTTAAGTGTATATCAGTACACCAATCTTATGGTGCACCTCCAAACATCAAATACACACATGGTAAAGCCAACATCATCATGATCATATTCCAACAAACTCTAGGATATGAGATTGGGGCCAAGAAAAAAAAAAAAAAAAGATGCCCAGACATTGACCAGCGAGCGTCTGGACAACCAACTCAATCTTTATTAGAAGAGCCACAGAGAACAAGTGGACCACGGTGAGGCTGAAACACTAAGAGTTGGTTTGATATTGTTGTGTTTTGAAAAAAATCTGCTTCTGCTGTGCTGTGAGAATAAGCTCATTTTTGCTACTTCACGTTTTCAGTTTTTTTCACCTTAAACTGTGAAAATAAGCTGTTTTTAAATATTTACCAAACATGTTTTTGAGCTCAGCTTTTTTTTATGCCAACTTTTTATAAAGACACCTCAGTACCAAACCAGTATTAAACCCAAATCTAATGAACCTTTTACATATCAAAGAACACGTTTGGCAGCAATCAAATGAGTCATAGTTGAACAAGCCATAAACTGGGCAATATGCGCAAAGGCAATATCAAGACCAGTCAAAATGAGATACTGTAATGACCCAAGGAGGTTACGAAACTCAATGGAATCGGAAAGAAGAGTACCATCCTGATTAGACAGTTGTGACTTGGATGCAATGGGTGTAGTAGCCGGCTTGCTATCAAGCATGCAGGTGCGTTTGAGAAGATCAAGAGCATACTTTGTGTCAGATGGACTCCAGAGGAAGCATGATGTACCTCAATGCCAAGGAAGTAATGAGAGGACCAAGATTCCTAAGCTCAAATTACAAATATAAAATGTAGATAAACTGTTGAATGGCAGAAGGAAGATTGCCATTGAGGACTAAGTCACTCGTCTTCTTCTTTCTGATCCCACTGAGTTTCGTCACCTCCTTGGGTAATTACAGTATCTCACTTAACTCATTGATACCATATAGAAAACATATTCTGAATAATTTTATTCATAATACAAAGGTTTATATTTGTACATTGTATATATTTGACGTACAAGTAGACCTGTAAACGGGTCGGGTTTACTGAGTTTGGGTCGGGTTGAACCCGACCCGTTAATTTAACGGGTCATCCGAACTCAACCCGTTAAGCTAACGGATTATCCAAACTCAACCTGTTAATCTAATAAGTCACTCGTTTCACCCATTAACTTTTTGATTTTTTATACATTTTATCCAAATCAAATATAGCCCCATTTTGTATAGTAGAATTCAACTTTCTATCAATTATATGCATCTTCGAATCTTAACATGGATCGAGAAATTGTTTATCAAGTAAAACACAGTAATTCTCCTTCTCAATCAAAGTCTCACTACGGTGGCACTCTTTCTCCATCAGTGTCTCACTGTAGCCCTTCTCTTCCATAATGAAAAATTCATCTCGCTGCGACCAAACTTTTCTCTATATCAACCTTCTTCTTCCATTGCTTCTGCTGCTTTTTTGCCTTCAACATTCACCTATATGGTGCTGTAGTAAATTTAGTGAATGCCTAGGTTTCTGCAATCATAAAATTTAGATGAAAAGTAAGGAGTAAAAAATGGGAAAAAAGATAATGGTGAAAAGCCATTTTGCAAAATGACATCAAACTTAACAGTTAACATTCAAGAGTATAAAGGTGCTATCGTCTTGATTACTCAAGTAGTAGAATCATATCACGGGATCAAAACTGAAATCATGGGATTGTCCCATTGGGGTATATTCAAGAAAATTGAAAACTCTACATAATTTATTTCTTGTTGCAGAAGCATTTTGAGTGATTCTACTCAAGTAGTAAGAATTTTGAGTGAAATCATGGGAAAAAGAATGGTAAGACATCAAACTTACTACTAGAAATTTCCACTTTGCCGACAAAAATAGTTTGTCGGCAAAAGTCAAAATTCGTCGGCAAAGAGCCTTTCCCAACGAAAAATTTTGTCGGCAATTTTGTCGCTAAAAGCATGTCGCGCAAGATCTTTCTCGACAAATCTTGATATTTCATCGGCTCATTTTTAAGGCGACAAATCTCAGCCGTCAAACTGTGCCCATCACCAAAACAACATTGCGACAAAATATTTTGTCAGCATAGGTTGTTTTTTCGCGATGAAATTATTTGTCGGCTTAGTGATCTTGTCGCGACAAAATATTTTGTCGGTTGAGTAATCTTGTTGCGACAAAACATTTTGGCGGCTAAGTAATCTTGTCGTGACAAAATGGTTTTTCGGCTACGTAGTCCTATGACAACAAATTGGTTTGTCGGCTCAAATGACTTGTGTAGACAAAATAATTAGTTGGTTGAATCTTTTGTGAACAAAAACATTTGTCGGCTAATTAATTTTGTGCCGACAAAACATGTCAAGTCCAATATTTTCTAATTTTTTAATAATATTTTTAACCATCACAAAACAAGCAAGCTTAAGAGATCGAGAAGGGGCGTGAATGAAGAATTAATGTAGGAACAACACAAAATTCATGTAATATAAACTAATGTAAGGTTCACAATTCGGTGTAGTTACAAAATACAAAAATATCTATGTTTTCATTTCGAGATTACTATAATATAGATAAAATATCCTTAAGTATCACCATTCTCACTATAGTCCTCATCAAGTTGATATGCAGCATCATGAAATCGGGAAACGATAAGGATCATCATGAAACACTCCAGTATCAAACAATTGTAGAAGAAAAACAAATTAAAAAACTTGATTAGCAAACGTTAAGGGTGCTAAATATCATTGACATTAAGGAACGCAAGGCCACACTAGAGTGGTATTTCTAAACAAATAACTTATGAAACCATAAATGTGTAAACAACAAGATAAAGATATCTACTAATCAAGTTAACTTACCAACGCCATGCAGCATCACAACCTAGCAAAATTACATGTTTAATAGATACCAGGTAATAATCAAGTTAACATCAACTACTTATATGTCATTCATCACTGTAAACAACAAGATAAACATTATAAACAGCAAGGCAACATGATTATCACACTCTGTAAACAAGGCAGCATGATAGTAGATCATATAAATCCTTGAAAGGTATATAATTTATATAAACATAACAATACCAATCACCTATCTAAGTAGGTTATAACTCTAGAACATAAGCATATGCACCTGGAAACATAAATAAACTATACTAAAGCATCCTAATTCATCATTGTTTAAATTCAAAAGACATAAGCGTTCAAACACTGCAAAAATAAGTGGAAGAAAAACACAAAGTCACCAAAGACAAAAGCTTCCTAAAACGAAAAATCAAACCAGATGGAACAACCATAGACAAATGATCACAAAATAGAAGAAAACATTTGAAAGAAAGAGCTAACAGACCTTTATTCGAAAGGGCTTGCATCGCTGTTCACAAAACCCCCAAAATCTGGAGACCAATATTTTCTGCAACAAAAAAGCCAATCAGATTAGGGAACCACACCGAAATCACTAAAAAAATTAACCAAACAATGAATGAAAAACGCTAAAAGTTCAATTTCACACCAATAATAACTGAAATGAAAAAGAAACAAAAATATAGGAATACCATATTAATTTTCAAATCTTACCACCAGTTTGCAGGGTGTAACAAAAGCTTGTGTCTCACCATGGCTCAGTCTTTGCTTTATTAGTAACTTAGCCGTCAAATCTTTCAACTGCAATGATCAATTGAACATGATCAGAGAAAAACCACATATGGAAAAGCACACAACTTTCAAAATGCTGATGGAATCCACAATCAAAAGTTTTCACTTTGCTTCTATCTGCAAGATACCAAACGATATTAACAATGAAGGGATGATAACAAATCTCATTAAAGAACACACTGCATTTATTACCAAAGTGTTAACCAGGTGAAAGTATAAAATATTACGGATTTACAGAGTCAAATTCTACATTTGTTGGTTATAATTAGTGAAATAAACAGTAATCTATACAACAATAAATATAAAAATAGTTATTCAAGTTGATTTCGCAATTTCTAAAGGTTTAAAGACTGGAGCATCAGATATTTGTTGAATTTAAAACTTTATGTGATCTTAATCCAAACATAGAATGGGTATGGGAATCAGGGAGAGAATATAGAATGGGTATGGGGTAATAACTCTGTATCGATGCGAAGCAATCCATATGTTTTCAAACTGAAACATGAAAAAAATTAAAATAGAAGTGCCTTCTAAAGTTTTTATTTTTGCTATCATATAACATTGATAGCACATGGTATGTTTGTGTTCTTCCCTCATATAGGATGTACTCTTATACACTAAGACAAACTGTCAACCTTGACAACCATTAAATGACTCTGCTAGACCATCTATCAGAAACATTGCATTCATATTTTTGCTTGACCACAATTTTAACATGCGTTAATCTGTAATGCGATTTTTTATCTTTTTAATGGATATCTGATTAGAGTTATACAGTTTTTCCTTCTTTTTTCATTTCACATTAGAATATAAACATTCATCCATCATAACCACACCAAAAGTGGGCAATTCATTGTAAAAATACAAAACCATTACGGTGATAAATCTAACTGATCTATTTCTTGAACTCCGAGCCTAATTCTATCTTAGAAATGTTTTCTTCTGGTACAATATTACTACTCCCCCTTTTTCTTTTTGGCGGAATTGATTGAAATCAATTGGATCAACAGAATAGCCAGTTCATTACAATCTACAGAAATTCAAAATAAAAACTAATATAAAGCTCAGCCAAAACATACCCAAACTGAATACGATTTGTCTGACGATCACTTGAATACAAAGATCACCCAAAATTGAGCGAAAATCTGGGAACAAAATCAATCCAATTGTAATAATTAACAGTTAGACAACCAAAAAACAAATCTATGGGCAAGACAACCAAAAATGAAATCAAACTGCAAAACAAAACTAAAAAATTTAGAAATCAGTCACCTTAATACGTACCAGTTAACAAAACGGCGAAAAAGACGAAATCGATACGGTTCGCACCCAAAAACAGAGAAGAACAGCCAACAACTATTCCAAAAATCAAAGAACGTGTCTGCCCGGAGGTAATTTTGTGAAACCAAGAGGAAGAAATTGATAGAAAACAGGGCGCACAACGATGAAGGCGGAGGAAAACCTAGATGAGAAACCAGAAAATGGAGAGCCAAAAGGTAAAGTGAAACAGATGAATCGAAGGAGAGAAAGAAAGGCTGCAGGACGCGTGGGCTGGATGGGTAGAATCGGAAATTCACTGCACACATATGAGGAAGCACGGCAAAAGCCAAGAAAAGCGGAGGGCATAACTGTCCTTGCACTGTTCACGAACAGTGCAAAACAGTGCACCCGAGTTTGGGTTTTAGTATATGTATAATATATATAGAATTTATACTTTCATTAAGTATAACATAAGAATTTGTGGTATCCACAAGTGTAAATATTTTAAATTGAAGATCGAGGTCATTCATTGTATTCATATAGGATCAAGGAGTGTAGCTGTAAAAAATCATCAAAATCGGAGTTAAAATAACCGTTAAATCGTGATTTTTCATTTATAACCGTCAGAACGTTTTGTCTCCTTACATGATCTCTGAAGGTTTGTTTTTTGCAATTTTTGGCGTATACGATCTCGAAACATATATAAACAAGTTTGACGGTTGGATCATTGAAACTAGTTTCGTATAATGCGTATCCTATGAAAATGATAGATTCACTAACACTTAGAGTTTATTTATACTTTCATTAAGTATAACATAAGAATTTGTGGTATCCACAAGTGTAAATACTTTAAATTGAAGATCGAGGTCATTCATTGTATTCATATAGGATCAAGGAGTGTAGCTGTAAAAAATCATCAAAATCGGAGTTAAAATAACCGTTAAATCGTGATTTTTCATTTATAACCGTCAGAATGTTTTGTCTCCTTACATGATCTCTGAAGGTTTGTTTTTTGCAATTTTTGGCGTATACGATCTCGAAACATATATAAACAAGTTTGACGGTTGGATCATTGAAACTAGTTTCGTATAATGCGTATCCTATAAAAATGATAGATTCACTAACACTTAGAGTTTATTTATACTTTCATTAAGTATAACATAAGAATTTGTGGTATCCACAAGTGTAAATATTTTAAATTGAAGATCGAGCTCATTCATTGTAAATATTTTAAACTGAAGCCCTTTTGTGACGCCAGCATTAGTGTCGCTATTCCAATCCGACATTACATTGTTTTATGTCAGATTTTTTCTAAATTTCCGACAGAAATTGGGTTTCTTGTCGGTTTTTGCTTCGCCACTGATAAGGTATATTGCAGTAGTGGGTGTTGGTACCAAGTAACAGATGATAGGGGCGTGGATGATAATCAGTTAAGAGTGCAAGAATCGTAAACCTAGGGATAGAAATCGTCAAAATTGTTTCTGAGCGGGAAAGACCCCGCCAAATTGTTAGAAGATAAATAAGAATTCTTATCAAACTGAAATCGGATGGCGTGAGCGAAGAATGTGGGAGGGAAGTCATGAGCAATTGGGATTAGCATGCAATTGGGAGGGAGATCATGAGGCGACAAAATAGGAATAGCATGCAATGGGAGGGAGATCAGGCAATTGGGGGATGTGAACCGACAATTGAGGGATGTGAACCGACAATTGGAATAATATAAATATTATGGGAGGGAGATCATGAGGCGGCAAAATAGGATTAGACAAAATATGGGAGGGAGATCATGCAATTGGCAGATGTGAACCGACAAAATAGGTTTGGATTGCCACGGGAAATTTATAAGTTTGTTCTTATAATTATATGTTATGTTTTTAGAAAACTTGGCATGCTTGTCGAATTAGAATGGATGATTACATACAACTGTATTCAAATTTACAATTGTAATTGCTAATAATTGATCATAGCCTAAACCAAGTTATATGTTGCTAGAAAGTAGTTTGGAGTTAGAATTGATAGGAAGAACTTTTTCAAACACTCACATATTATGAAATCAAATTGTCAATATAGATTATTGATGGCATAAAACTACAATCCAGAAATATGAAATGCTAGATATCTCTTTATCTATGCTCCCGTTCATATAGAGAAACAAGAGAGAATGACAGCATAAATAGTTGCCAAGAGCTTTGATTGCGTTCCCTGGAAAAAAATGGATAGGTGCACTGGTGAAAACCTCTCACGTAGAGTTATTAATACCTTGCCAATGACATACTTTATTGCCTCTCTAATCAATTTGCCGATGAAATACTTTGTTGCCTCACATCATCGGCTAATATTTCAATATAGCGGGAAAAGTTCCCGCCAAAGTTTACCCGTCAAAACAAAATTTGTCAGGGCATCGAATTTACGCCTACAAAATGATCGTCGGCTAACGTTTCAATTTTCTCGGCTAAGATTGGCATTGTAAATTGGTTCTAGTGTGAGTATTCAGCCGACAAATTAAAAATTTCGTCGAGAAAGGACTCTTGTGCCGACAAAATTTTGCTTTGTCGGCTTATAATTTGTCGGCAAAATTATAATTTCTAGTAGTGTTAACATTCAAGGTTGAACTTAATATTACCCAATTACGATGAAACCGTTGTGTGAAAATCCAATAGCCTAAAATCAGTTGTAATTATGGAGACATCCAATTGCAGATCCTTTCCTTAAAAGCAAAATGTTGAAGACCAAAATACCACCAAGGCTACTAGTTTTCTGAAAAGCAATCTGAGATGCATTTTGAGAGCAGAAAAGAAAACACTACTATACTCAAAGAGAGATCCTGATACATGTCAATACACCATGACAAAAAACAAAAAGAAAAATACAAGAATCTTGATGATGAAAACATTAATGTCTTTGAGGAAATCACATGCTATCAATTGATGTAGAATGCATTTTTTCAATCAGTTTTTGCGACTCAAGTTCCACTCCTTTTGCTTATCTAGTTACAGTCCAAACTAAATAGCACGATTTTTGTCAAGGTACAAACTCCATATCGAAAAAAAATTCAGGTAATTTCGATTAACAAAAATTTCATTATTCATCTGGATGATGTTTAACTTTGCCTTTCCAACGTTACTGGCTGTATTATATTGGACAGAACTACCAACAGCAACTTCTTCATTAGTTTTATATTTACAGTTTTATTGCTCTAACCTAAGTTAACCGAATATCATAAACAATCCAATTAATGAGAATGCAAGTGACAACATATGCATTTTCAGAGAATGCAGAAGATAAGCCTCCATAGCCTCCCACAATATATTCACATGTGGCTTATATCTTTGAAACCCAGTTAACCAAATAGCATAAACAATCCAATTAAAAAAGTCGTACCCAGTGCACAAGGCTCCCGCTTTACGCAGGGTCTGGGAGAGGTGAATGTCGGCTAGCCTTACCCCCATTTATGAAGAGGCTGCTCCCAAGTCTCGAACCCGAGACCTACCGCTCATGGAGCATAAACAATCCAATTAATGAGAAAAAAAAAAACACAAAATATGCCGATTAAGTCACGTAATTTAATGATCATCAAGAAACGAAGTAAGGAAATTGAGATTTGAGAGAGCAGCAAAAAAAAAAACAAAAAAAACAAAAAAACAAAAACCCTAGAAACCCAAAATCTCCAATCCAATCACACACAGAAAGCATCATTTGCACAACAAAAGCACAATCGCAGTTGAAATTATCAAACACAAATCAACTAATTCTGAATTAATTCGAAGCTAGTCTGAAGAGACCACCTAAAATTGAGCTGAAGTAAAAACTGAGAAAAAATACGAATATAATCTGCAGAAACGAAAAGTAATCGAAATGAAAGAAGAGGTGGAAGGGAATCAGAGCTTACCAAAGAGAGAGTGATGGAGCTCAGGAAACTTTTTGAGGAGGAAGATGAGGGAGATAACCGGAGCCAGGGAAGGAGAACAGAGCAACGGCCTGTGCGAGAGGCGAGACAGAGAGAGGGTTTTCTATTAGGACTACTGAAATTACACAAAATCTTCAATAACGGGTGTTAATGGGTGGTTAAAGAGTTCCTCGGGTTGATCCAAAATGACCCGTTATTGAACGGGTGATTAACTGGTTGACCCGTATAGCACTCACCCAAATACTAATTTTAGTGGATCGAGTTAGGTTAATGGGTCAAATTGAAAATGCCAGGTTTATTACTAGTAAGAATCTCATCCTACACAAAAAATACAATAATAATGAGATTATAATATTAATTCCTAATCCTTTTGAGATACAGTTGACTTTGACAAAACTCATTCTCTAACAAATTAGGCCATCTTCAATCGAGGGCTAGCCAGAGGGCTCGTTTTAGCCCTCTAGCCCTCCAAGATATTAATATTTTAATGAACAGTATAGGGCCATATTTGCCTCCGTCTCCAACTGAGGGCCAAAGGGCCAGAGGGTTCGTTTTAGCCCTGTCACAAAAAACCGTCTCCAACCAAGGGCCAAAGAGCCAAACATAATTTATTATTTAAAAACTACAACTTAAATGTTGTTTAAGTTTCATGTTGTTAAATGTTTTTTTATGTTGTATAATTTTTATGTTGGTTAATGTTATTTAATGTTGTTTCATATTGTTTAATGTTGTTTCATTTACTTAATTTAATTTAATGTTGTATAATGGCTTAGGAAGTTATAGGAAAAAAAATAGAATTAAAAAAAAATATGAAACAAATTTTGTGAAATAGAAGTTATAGGAAAAAAAATAGAATTTAAAATAAAATGAAACAAATTTTGTGAAATAGAAGTTATAGGAAAAAATGGAATTTAAAAAAAATATATGAAACAAATATTGTAAAATAAAAGTTATAGGAAAAAAAATAGAATTTAAAAAAAATATGAAAAATAGAAGTTATAGGAAAAATTTTGTAAATAAAAAATAATAATAAAAATGTTAAAAAAAAATTCAATGCATTCCTGTCAGTTCTAACCGACAGAAATACGTTCATATTATTTAGTATAAATGTATTATTGTCGGTTTCGGTTAGAACCGACAAGATTTCCATTTTTTGTGGGACCCTCTCAAATTCCACAGCCCTCTGGCCTAGTCCTATGTTGGAGACGATTTTTGGGCTATTTTTGGCCATCTGGCCTATAGAATTGTAAGTAATGAGCCGATTAGTAAATAAGAAGCCCTTTAATGTTAACTGTGTATGCACTTAGTCTTATAGAATGACAAGTGTGAGGCTCCATCATGTAAGGCTAAAATAGCCATGTGTAGTGATCCTAGAAGTTAGCTAGATGTGTGGCTGAGATCAAATGTGATGTGTGTGGATCCAGCTAAGGCAAAAACGATTGTGAAATGCACGAGTGTGTGCTTATTTTTT